GGGCGGGAGCGGACGGGCTTACCTGCACTTGGGGCTGCTTTGGTTGACTTTCCAAGTCAAGGGAAATGTGTGTGTGTTTGGGATGGAGGCAGCAGCGCGCATGCGCCATCAAACTTGCCCTGATCCCGGATTTTTCCTCCTCGCGCTCCCCTTTGCTTTGATTATTGAATTTTCCTATTTCTAACAGGAGGGCGGGCGTCGCGCAAAACCCGGCCTGGAGCCCGCCGCCGCCCGCCCCGGCCCGCCCGGGGTGGGGAAGGGGGGAGCGGCGGGAGGGAGCGGGCACGGAGCGGACTCGGTCTCCAGGCAGGCAGGGCAGGCAGTCAAGGGAGAGGCACCTGCAAAACACGGACTGGATCACCCTCCCCTGGCAAGGGAAAAGGCGAGAAAGTGTCCCCATTTCCCTGCCCGCGCGCGCAGCTGCCTGTCCCCTACCCTGCTCCTGCACCAGCGGTTCCTCTTACCCATCCGTCCTCCTTCCCAGAGAACCGCTGTCAATTTTATAAAATTTTCTATTTTGCAGCCTGCTGACCCCGTTCACCTTAGTTCCCTGACACTAAACTCCATGGAGATGACAAATAACTAGTGTGTACCGCTTCATTCTCCTGCTGGTTTTCGTAGGCATGATATTCAGTTGCTATTTTACAAACTTCTAAACTTCAGTATTTTTCTTTTGCTAATGTTCTTTGTCTGGATTTCGCTCAAGTTTAGAACTAACTGTTGTCTCAGTTCTACAACTGTAGTATTTCAGTTTGGCTGTGCTGGCTTTGCCGGCAGTTGCACACAGGACTAACTTTTGCAGGTCTGGATCCTAGCAAAAATGCCAAGGAACAAATGTGCAAGCTATCAGCAGCGCTGTACACTAGGCTGGTTTTGGGAGATGTCTTTGCAGGATCAGAGACAAGAGTTCTCACACACCTGAATTTCCAACAGGCAGGCATCACATTTCTGTGTTAAACTACTTTCCCCAGCTCCACCTTTCATTTCACTGAGACAGTGAGTATACATTACAGTTGCATGTGCACATTTTCTGGTGGTGATTCCGCAGAAGCATCCACAGAGATCTTTTCTGTCATTCCCTGGTTGCCTCTACAGGAGCCAAGAGAGCCTGGGCTGGCTGGCACCGTGCACTGGGCACGGGGGTTTGGAGGCACAGCTGCCTGGTGCCCAGACTGTGGGGTGGATCTGCCTCCACTGTAGGGCTTGCAGGGTTTGGGCTCCAGGCCACAGCCAGGCAAAGCTGAACACTCCTGGATAATTTTGCTCATTGGCAGCAGGGAACTCCGCATCAGCACACCCACACAGCAGCCCTTGCAGGAGCGTCTTGCTCTTCCCATGCGCTTCCCTGTCTGTGTCTGTCTCCACCTGTTGCCTCTTGTCTGGTGTTTACACCATCAGCTCTTTGGGGCAGAAACCATGGTTTTGCTCTGCATTTGTCAGTGCCTTGGACAACGTGGCCCAGCTCCATAACCACAACTCCTATGTGCTATTGCTACACACATAAATAATAATAACTAATAATAATAGGCTAATTCCTCTGATTTTGATGTGACTACTCATGTGAGTAAAAGTGACTCACATACATGAGCGTGTGTGGGACCACTGCCAGGTCTTGAGCTTTTATTGTGAGTCTTCCAGTATTTGGTGTTCTCTTTTGATTCCAAGCTCCTGGAATGATTTGTTTCTAGCACTTGCCTTTACACAAGGACACTTGGAAATGTGGCCTAGTGCTGTCAAAAGCCTCAGAAGCCAGCGAACAAATAGGAAACTTCCAAAGAAATAAATTTTTAATGGCTTTTGTGAAATTCCTGTGATTTGGCAGCTCAGGGAGGAGTGGAGTCTGACTCATGAATTTTGAGCAGTCAAGTTTAGGAATATGCATCAATTGAGTTAAATATTTAAGTCCCTGTAAAGACTAGACTTCTACTAACCAGGCCAAACTTATAGTGCAGAGACATATTTTGTGGAAATAATGTTTATAGTGCCAGTGTCTTTGCAAAATCTGAGTTTTTGTATATTTGCATATTGTTTGGGATTTGTCATTCTGTAGTTATTTATTTTTACCTGTTCACAGTAAGAAAGCAGAAAAAAAGACATGAAAGTGGGATTATTAAAGTAAATAGGATTGTGTGAAACTGTTCTAATAACGGTGGCAAGTATTTATAAATTGCTGAAAATACAACCAGCAAGCTTCTTGAGTTTGGTATGCTTGAGAGACACTGCCAGGTTAAAACCCATGTACTTATGAAAGTAAATGTCCCAACTTCTTCTTACAAAAGTAAAAGAGAGCAGGTCCCAAGCTATGAATTCTTGCTTATGAGGCATCCCTGAAGAATGAAGGGTTGGGAGAATAGGGCTCTTTAATTAAACCTGCATAGTTACTTTTAATTGCATTTACTTACTATTTTCTCTTGTTCATGTTTTTGCATTTCTCTCATCTAGGGTGTTGAACGCAGACTGAATGGTCTTCCTTCTGTTTGGAAGTTTCCTAATTTTGAAGAGCTGTAGAGCTGTCCTAGTTAGGAGGAGCGCTTGGGCGAGTGTTTTTGAGGGGACCCTGTTGATCACCACAGATCCTCTTCTGCCTGTGCTCCCTGGATGTGGTGGGGGGCTCTCACACCGTGTGAGCTGTGCCTCTGACAGCTTTGTGTGTCCTTCCACACCACAGCTCCCTCAGAGCCCAGCCAGCCCTCTGATGTTCACTGTGCCAGCCCCAGAGTGCTCAGCTCCTCAGCCAGATAGAACAGGAGGTAATGACACCTTACACAGCCCCTTCTAGATAGAAAGAATATAATTTAGCAAATTGCAAATGATGCATACTTAACTATTTATGCAGCATCTTCCTGTCATCAACCCAAAGCAATTTTACTTCCGTGTTGAACAGTGGATGAAAATGTTCTATAGATTTAACCATTGCGGGAGTTCCTTTTAAGTGGTGCAGTAATCTCTCTCCAGCTAATTTAGTGTTGTAATAAGGCACCACCCTCACAAGTCCTTTGTGTTCTTGTGTCAATACTGCCCCCAAACCAAAAGTGCTGGCATCTGCATCTGTCAGAAAAGTGGGTCTGAAACACAGACCAAGAAAGGAGCAACATGCCCATCAGTGGAGCAATATGGCCATCAGCAGGACAATCTCAAAAGCCTTTTGCTAATTTTGAACACCCAATTTCATTCACATTTCCTCCAAAATGCGATTTACTTTCTCAGCAAGACCATGGTATGGTTTAACAGTAATGTAAAATTCAACAATAAGCCTCAAACAGAAGCTGACTGAGATGTATCTGGCGAGCCAGAATGCTTCAGTACAGATTCAGTTTTGTTCTTGCCCATGGGGGTTCCTTGCCCACTGCTCAGGATTCAACTTGAACCAGATCATGGGATTGAAGATCCTTAACCAAAGACCACTAAGGAAAGTGTCTCTCAGTTATGCTCTTCTCTGTTTCAAGCATACAACATGACAGTGGAAAAAAAATCCAAAAGGAATCTTGGACATTACTTTCATTTCCTTTCCTCTTATGGTTTTCTTTGCTGGCATTCACTAAACCTGTAAGCCATTACACAGTTATGGTTCCCATCTTCAGAAGTTCCTGCTTGTCTGAGCATTTAACAAACAGTTCAGTTGCACAAGATCATTGGCAGCTCAGGTTCCACAAGCCCCTCCATCTCCAAAGAGGTTTCATCTCTTCCCAGCCTTTCTTTAGCTGCCATAGCATGTGGTGATGCCATTAGTTGCTGTCCTTGGGGAGAGGACATCCTGCACACTGCAAGCTTAGTGCCCATAAGATATTGGTTCTATTGAGCTACATATTTCAAATGAATTTCGATGGACTGAAGTTGCAGGACACATTTTTGCTATTTATCACTCAGCAATTACCAATGACAGCATCCAAACTCATTGTTAGGTCGTCTGCTGTCCACAACTCTTGGTTAAAGCCAGAAATTTCTCTTAAGCCTAACTACACAGAAGTTGCTTTGTTTTTGCTCAGAGCCCTCATTTCCACTGCGGAGTGGGGTGGGTGCAGCTGTGTAGGCAGGCAGGACATGGTGCCTGTCAAATCCCCTTCAATAGGGAGCTGCTGGGCAGCAGCGAGATGTGAGCACGGGGATGTGATACAAGTCATTCAGCACAGAAGTGAGCACAACATGCAGAGTGATGACAGGGTCAAGCATACAGGCTGTGTCTTTTCTGCAGAGTAGAGGTTAATGTATTTTATTCACACCCAGCACATACCCCAGAACACTCCATCTGGCTATGCTGTGCAAGTGCAGCCTAAGAAAACTACAAACCCTTAAAAAATTACTCAGACAAGAAAAATGATGCTAAAACAACATGAGAAGGGCATGGATTAAAATGCCCTAAGCAGAGAAATCATGCTGAGGGTTCCAACTTTGTCCTCAGGTCACCCTGCTTTCAGCAGAAGGGCAGAGGAGGGAATGCAGAGGAGCTCCCATGGCTCTGAGGCTCACGGCAATGCTCAGGCTGAGATGCCTCGTTCCACCCACTCCGAGCAGGTGACATGCTCTCCATAGGCCTACATCCACATTAACTCCTCAAAGAAGCACTTGATCTCTGGCAAATGAGGAGCTGGATGAGGTCTAGACTCACCAAACTACCAAACTGGACTGGCTCAGTCACTCATATCCCGTGTGGACTGACTACCCAAGAGCCATAAGGCGTCAGGAGTGACATTTTCCAAACCCAGCACAGAGCAGGGTGCTGTCCAGGACCTCTGATCCTGCTTCACAACTCACTGGAAGAATGAAGAAATCACTCAGACATGCACTATAAAAAGCCTGTGTATTTACTTAGTTTCATAATGGAAAATTAAAAGTAATTGCAGAGGAGGAGGAGGAGGCATTTTTTCAGTTGCAAGTGCAATATTATCCACTTCCATATTTTATCATTGGAGTGGCACAAGTAATCAAGGAGTATCATGTGGTCATTTTTGTCAAGTGCCTTTTTGTCACAGGCAGCTATTTCTTTGGATGTGCCCATTTCAGAAGAAGAAATTGGTGAGATCCCCATTGTGCCCTGCTCCAAATCCTCTGTGCAGAGAAGGCATTGCTTCACACTGGCACTACTGGGGCAAGAATTATTTATATTGAAGAGGATCAGGCTCTGCATTTTGAAACGTCTTTGCTTAGAAATACATATGATTAATATCAGTATGCAAGTAAGTTATATAAATATTGAAACCTTGTGGACCTAATTAAAGGTCTACAGACTGATACTG